GGAACACGCTCCCACTTTCTGTCTTTCCTCCAACTTACAACCCGTCGTTCTTTATGCGCAGAATCCATAAGCTAAATGATTCGTGAATAGCACCCTAATCTCCATTTTATGGTATAATCGTTGTCTGTGGGCATATCCTCTTTTACTGTAATTCAGTGTAATAATTAATAAATGGTTCACTTTTGTGCTTGGGGCTCCTATTCCGTTCACTACATTTCAAGTTTTTCAGCTCAATGAAGCAAAAATGCATTGAGTTTTCATCATATCACTCTTACATTGTTTCTGTATCCTTTCAGTCTTGTCAATCTGGCCATTCAACAGTTATCAAGCCCGAAATGGAACGGTCTCCCAGTGTTCCAAAACGTGTTAGCAAAAGTCAGCGGTACGTTTGCGAACATTTCTGTCTTGCTTCTGCCCCCTATTTTCTTTCATCTATGATTTCGTACTTTCTCATAAACCAGGAACAACATTTCTTTGGCAACTAATGTCACTACAGCAACAGTACCATCACCACCACCGCCACTACCTGTAGTTATAACCGTGTCTGCCTATTTTTAATCTACCCTGAAGCTAGCTGTTTCGCTAAAATCGAGCACTTCCGGTACTTGAATTATTCTTAATGTGACATCTCACTTTCTTGTCATACACCTTTATTTTTTATTGCACACCTTTTTGTGTGATAAACAACAGACGGGGTGAACCTCATAGTCGCGTCGATCTGCGATTCAATGGTGGAAACCGGCCAGCTTGCCCCCGAACATGGAGTGGCCAGCCCCATAATTCCCCGATAGGTTAGGTGTGGTATTGAACCGGACGACAGCAAAGCTGTTTACCACCAAAGTTGGGTGGCGATCGTGGGGTTCGAACCTCGGAGCATAGGGTCCAAAGCTAGCCTGATGAAAGTGAATTAACTACTGCGCCACCACTACACCTTTATGGTATCAATAGAAGAAGTGGTAGAACCCCAGTCACGAGAACCGGTTGTTCACTCAGGGCTTGTAGCGGCCAAGCACACAAGATCCCCACTCAGATAGGTGTAGTTTTGTAACGGTTCGAACTGTTTTGCAGCTTGTTATAATTGTTTGATTTGGTGTCCTGTGTTGTTGAACAAAGAGCCTCGTGATATGCCAACTCTCCATATGCCAAATAAATGATACCCCACAAGGTACACTGGCCAAACACCAGACCAAACAAGCAATGACTGAAAATCTGGCAAGCTGTGATATGCAATTAGACAATTAGACCAGGATGATGGTCACCGGTGATTAGAGACCCAGAGTGATATAGCTGGGTATCGCAAACAGTGATACTCATACATCTACTCATTATTTTTGCAACCTCTGTCTATATGAGTTCTTTATTGTTCCCTTGGATCTGCTCTCAATATTCCAATCTTCATTCTTCTGTTTTATCCAAATTGGTCAGCCAAAAGACAGCAAACAAAACCGGTCCACAAAAGTGTGCCTGGTCGCATAGTTATAAAAAACTGAAACTGAAACCTTGGTGGTAGGCAGCTCTGCTGTCGTCCGGTTCAATACCACGCCTAACCTATCGGGGCCTTATGTGGTTCGCTACTCCAAGTACCGGGGCTTAGGTTGCCGATTTCAACCACTGAACAGCAGGTCTTCGTGACTATGGGGTTTACTCCGTCTGCTGTTCATCACACGAAAGTGCGTAATAGAAAAAAAGGAATAGGAAGTTATAAAAAACTGAAACTGTGTACGCATTCACACAATCAGGCCACAGTCGAGTACGATGCGTTCACCAATTAGAGGGGAGAAATAGATTGGCACAGTTGTCGTTGTCTTTCTTTGACTAGGACACATTCCTCTAAGGCATCATCTTCGTATGCTCCGCAATCCGTTTTCGTTCCCTATTTTTTCCTCTTCAGTGAAAGTCATAGTGAAATTGAACGAAAGCGTCGTGAACGAATGAAACGTGATACGGAATTTCTCAGAAAACAAGTTTCGAACACACAATGCAAAGACAAACTGTCCATTTTTCAAGCCGGTGCGGAAAAATTGATCCAATATACCGGTACGGTGTCCGTTTACTCACTGATTTTCACAGACAAATTGGGCAAACGTGAATATATCATTAACGACGAAGAGTATTCACAAATCATAATGAATGTAAGTGTTGGATTGTTTTTCCGAATCGTGGATCGTTTTCGATCTGTTGC